TTTTTGAGGGGGGGGGGGGCTGATTTTACTGCACCTAAACCCGTAACATAAAAAGTACAGAGGACTCTACCTGAGTGAAATAGAAAATGTCTGTTGCACAGCGCTTGTACTGTTTATTTCCAATCAAGCTGACTAAAGTTGCAGGAGCTCCATCTGACAAAAGGGAAAATTTTGTAACCATGCTCTTGATAAATGTAGTCAAGAACTCAACTCTAGATTTCTGAAGCGAAGAGTCTGTTCATCCAAAATTGGAAGACAAAATCTACACCCTCAACTTATACCTCTAGTATCCAAATGATGAAAGTTCCAACAAATCAGACAAACACAGCTTTCAATGACTTGCTTTTGTTGAAAATAGAAACATGTAGCAAAACATGCATGCAACTTTTACTCTCTTGAGAAATGGAGTGAGGAATGAGAGGACAAATTCTGTTTTCCAAGCTGTTTATATTGAAACTAGTTTGCATGTTCATGCTAAGCTACAAGTTGGATAAAAAAATCCATTAACTTTTTCAACGCGGAAAACTATTTGGCATTGTTATCAAACCTGGCCTAGTGGATCAACCTCGGAACCTCCCTTCCCAACTCTTTTCCTAGCCCTCGGTTTAAAAATTAAATTGTGTTAAATCTATCTCAACATGATTCAGTTAACTTAACGGGTCCAAAGACAACTCAAAAGACATGTAAAAAACATGGTTTCGTTTAAAAAAAAAATCAAGATGACACCTTTAAAAAAGTATATATATTGAGAAGGTGACATAATGAATCAGCCTAGGTTTTGTTGCTTAACCCGCCAAACCCATGACTCAGGTCATAAACTCCACTAGGTTTGATAACTTTGTTTTTATCTTCAACTATTTTTTACTTAGTTATACGATAACAAAAGGATAGTATTTTTTTTTTTTTTGGCTGCTTAACCCGTCAACCCCGTGACCTAGATCATAAACTTCACTAGATTTGATAACTTTGTTTTTATCTCAACTATTTTTTTCTTAGTTATACGATAACAAAAGGATAGTTCTTTAATTGAAACTACAATAACATCATAGAAAACAAACCAAAACACATTATGAACATCAATTCAAAATCAACTAAATATTGAAAGATGAAATAAAAAAATGAATACAAACTTAATGTTGAACGATAAAAAAAAAATGAAAATAAAAGAATAAAAAAAGAGAGAAATGAAAAAAAAATGAGGGACCCAAGTGAGTTAAAACCTAACTTTATTAGTTAAAGTAAGTACAATAATCTAGCACTTTCCTAATTTTCTTAACCACTATTTTCATCCCCCCTTCATGTTGTACCAAACATGCTATCAGAAATGGACTTGTGTCAAATCCAAGTATCACATGACTACCAAATTAGAAAAAAAAACAAGTCAATGTTATGAGAACAAAATAAATAAATAAAACCATTCAGAAATTTCTCAAAGAGCTGATGATCAACAAATCCATGGTGACAATGAGGCCAAACTCAAGACCAGTAAAAGGACCTCAAATTATATAAGTATCAATGGTTTAAGAAAACTATACTCACCAAAGAGCATTTTTTTGATATCACTCGCTCTACAAGCAGCCTCGAGTTGTTCCTCGAATGAACCCTTATTAGAGACCTTACTGCCACTCAGTTGGCTAATCTGAAAAGGTATGAGATTTGGTTGGTCATCGTCAACTTTGCTTTGTGCAACCCTTGCTCTCATAAAGAACATGCCATTTGGCCAGAGAATCTGAAAGTAATTCATCATAAGAAAATAACATAATTTAACAGTCAGTCAGTCTGATCAAGATCAACAAGAGAGCAACAGAAGTCAAACTATAGTCCAGTTCACAACTTATTTAAAAAAAACAAAAAAAAAACTGCCTCAATCGAATCATCTCAACATCAGATGATGCCTTGATGAGGGCTAACCACACAAACCCGAATAAGGCATTAACTAACATGTAGTTAGACCAGTGACAAAGCATCACTGTGGAATTAAACTCAACACAAACAAAACCTAATTCTGATAGCCACATCAATGCTTTACTTTTGGATGGCTTTAACATGTTCACTATCAAACAGAAGTGTAATCCTGCCTTGGCAACTTTGAGCACATACCAATGAAGACTCTTTTTACCAAGTATCACTCGCATGTGTTGGGCAACAGTTTAGGCACCCAGAATCTGTTACAATTTCATTTACAATTAGGTCTCAGGGAGGCAACAAGCATGGCAGCAAAAACACAGTGGCACTCCTAAGATAGCCCTCATCAGGCTTATGCTGTAAAGCTGGTTGCCCAAACAAGCACGAAGCTAGCCTAGAGTAACCTTGAAAACTTTAATAGCCAATCATAAACACCTCTCTCATTACTTGAAAACTTGAAGATGGCAGGAATTAACGGGCATCATGCCAAGTAAATTTTTTTTATATCAATCACGTACACAGTTGGGAAAAGATCTGTGCAGTAAGCTTAATGAAGAAACAAAAAATTGGTTCAGTTCTTACATCTTGCACCCATCGAATCCCAAAAGCAATCGTGTCCTCCTTCCGAAGCCAGTAAATTTGCCTCAAAAGCCAGTCATCAATAGCATCTTCCATTATTAACTGCAGTATTTGCTTTGATATCCAAAAGACCTGTCTTCTGTGCTAATAAAGATGATCAAATGTGAAAGACTAAACAATAGTAGCCCAATAACCAGCAAAACAGGTTCTGGAAGATTATTCATACCATGAAAGGGAGAAAGATTATATTATATTCAAGTAAAACAACTTTTCACAGAAAAACCATCGACCATTGAAATTTCATTAAATGTAACCTTCTGGAATTCACCAAATATCCACTTAAATTTCCTAGCTCAAATAAATCGAGGATAACCAAACTTCATTGGAGACATAAGTTCAATGAAGGCAATCGCACAAACTCAGCTTAGGAATGTCTCAAATTTTTCAAATAGAATACAATTTGAGATTCTTTCCCAAATTCCAGTCCATGCATGGAAGATCTTCTATAGCTAAAGCCTTAATTATGACATGGTTATTATATATTTCATCTGATTCTTATCTTCCACAGTTTGGTGCATCATGCACAAATATATGGTAGGGAGAACGGACAAGGGTTGCTATAATAGCATACAAAACACTTCCTAGAAATAAATGAACTAAAGAGAACAATAAGCTCACCTCAGCCAGCCTCTTCTTTTAAGCTGAAACACCTTATCGACTAGATTTAGCAGAGGTACACTTACATTAGAAGGAGTCCACTGCAAAAATACCAAAGTCAAACTTCCCTACGCTTTGAATTAAAACAAGCTTCAGAAATCAAGAGGCAAACTAAACATTTTAAGAAAAGGAATGTCTCATCTGAACACTGTGACATGACTGCAATGCCTGACATCATCATTCATAAAATACAGATTCAGTATTGCAGTTATTTTACTCAATTCCCATGTCCTTAACCCAAAAAATTTCCACCTCTAGCAACATTCTCCTTTAGGTTGTCATGTATCAGTGCCCTTGTCTGACTGTATTTAACAAGTTTAATCCTACATCTGCCCTTTTCTATCTTAATACTATATAATCTAGCTATCCTCAGCTCCTGGAACCAATTTTTATACATTTGATTTAAAAAAAAAAAAAAAACAATGAAAACTCCTCGAAGACTCATTCAGCTTTAAATCAATAATCAACAACCTCAACAATTTTTAACATGAAGCTGATCATTCAATCTGTTTAGGTTTGACAGGTGTGATGTATCTTTAGCTAATCTACCTGAATAGTTTTAATCCTAGAACACAAGTTTCTTCGATTGAAAGTGTCCAAAACAAAAAAGTTCATTAGCAAAATAGCTGGGGAGTAGAAGGTGGTACTCTATATGTTTATAAGATCTTGTGTGTGGTTTACTGAGAAGGAACTTGACCGAACTAACCATTGATACCAAACTAAATGAAGTCAGCTAAATGAATAACCCAGTCTTGAAAAGGCAATGCTTATTTTAACTTGGAGGGAAATAGTAAAGTGAAATAGCAAATCTACAAGAAGAAACTATTATTATGCTCTATCAACTTAATCAGGTAATTTGTGATGCCCCAAGCCCAAATTATCTTTGCAGCAAAAGGTCATGAGCCATGAAAAAAATGAGAGATAAATTAGAGATAACCAAACTTAAAATACCTCAGGTGGCATTCCGACTGGATCATTCATATGACTGGAAGCTACTGCAGAGTTTGCTACAGAAAACACGCCATGGTTAATCCTTTCACTTTTCTCCTCTGATACAGGTTTTTTCTCTAAACCTAAGGCCTGCGACTCCTCATCTTGTTTGAACACCAGAGGAGGAAAACCCTTTGCATTCAATTCATTAACTGAATGACAACCACTGGCTTCTGCAGTAGATCCAACTCCCTTCTGGTCATGGCTCCCTTGATTATGACATTCTTCAGTTTCAGAATAGCTGTTTGCAGTTTCTAAAGTATCCTGCCTTGAGACAAGTTTATTCACATCATCCAAATGCCAGGACAAGTTCCTGTTGTAGATTGAGGAATTGGTTTCGTCGAATGGGGAAGTTGAACCAACAACTTTACGCATAAAGCCATCTGAAACATCTTTGAATTGCCGCACAATATCATCCACAGCATCATCCACATTGACTGTCAAGTTACATTACATAATTAAATGAGGAAACTTTTTTAGCAGAGGGGATAGACAAGAAACAATACTCATAGCTTTCACTCAGGACCCACAGCATTAAACTAATGGTAATTGAGATGATTTTGCTATTCAAAGATTGAAAGGGTTATAGAGGTCTTCAATAAATGGCTCTCTTCAAAACTAAATTACTTGTTTGCAAAATAGGGGTCAAATCAAATGTTCTGTAGCATATCCTCAAGGTGATGGACAATAAAAACAAAATAAACAAAAGATTCAATTTAAGAAAAGAAATTTGATGTGCACCAAGATATGCAAGTCTTCAAACAATTCAGAAATCACGTGTATAAGCCAAAGGAAGCAAGACCTCTCTCAAAAACAGGAAAACCAAGGTACCAATCAATTCTCTACAGCAAGTGTGCATTTTGTGTGAGAGAGAGAGATAAACCATATAAACAAGATGGTGCTTAGCAGTGAAATTGTAGTTTCAATAAGAAGTCAGGATGAAGCAACAAAGAAGAACACACCCACATACCTGCCAGGGTTCTCATGACTGAGGAAGATTTTGCAAAAGAATAATTCTTCAAGGCGGGAAACAGAAAAAAAGAAATTCAGAGTCATTTAATTTAACAAATGGAAGTATAAAGAAGAAAAAAAGGGGTACAATAAGTTCAGCTAAATTCTTCAGAAACAAATTTCAGTTTCCACAGAATCCGTACCTTTGAGGAAACGCTTAAGAAATCCCAAACTTCATGCTGTTCCGCAACGTTGGCTATAGACATGAGATCCTGGGAAACGCAACGTGATTAAAGAAGCAGAAAAATGAAATAAGCATTCTAAATAAGAAATTCGGAGCACAGATTAGACAATACTTGAATATATTTATCAAGCTGAATACAGCGTTGATGAACAAAAGCATCTTCAGTGCTTGATGAGAATATCCTTTTGGGAGGTAAGTGCAATGTGTAATTTGGGATCTCTTTCAGATGTTTATGCAATCTCTCAAAATTCCTGTATCTGCAGAAGAGGATGGAAATTGATGCAAAAGCAAAATAGCTTCAAGTTATCTAGAAACTTCGAGAACTTTCACAGAAACAACATCAATGCAGTAAATATGAAGAATAGTAAATGGAATGGATCAAGAAAATGCAAAACTTTTAGCAAAACTAGCAGCCTTAAGTCATCTTTAGATGAGAAGCAAACCTTCTTTTCACAAACCAAGTTCTGTTTTCTGCATCTGTCACTGCAATTGAGTAAACTGCAAAAGATTTTGACCCAAGTTTCTCAAAGTATGCTCCCATGACCTGTAATGACATGGATATACAAGGTGCAAAATAAATGAAATACATTCAAGTATGGTGACTGGTAAAGAGCAAGGCCCAAGAAGAAGCTCTAATGTAGATCCCTTATTTCACAAAGAATCCAGAGATAATTTAATTGTTCCAAAATCTGTATGGCTCACAGTAACTCAGAGAAGAAAACGCACCCGACACTTCAGCTTGGGACTGTGACGTCCCTCGCTACTAACTACCATGTTTGAGACCTTAACAGCATGATCTGGACTCCTACGAAAATCTGGGCTATAAAATTCTGAGATAATGGATCCCCCTCCATCTCCTGTAAATGCATTATTTTTATCAGGCAGGGCTTCTAGAGCAGAGGTGCTATTGGATCTCCTAAGTCCACCTCTTTTTTCATTCAAAGAGAGATTGCCGGCATTCTCCAATTCACCACCAACATGTGCGCCTTCAAAAGACAATTCCTGGCTACCATCCTGAGTAGGCTGTCTCCCATCTTTGTGCTCATGACTTGTTAAAGTATCTAGACTCAATCTAGGTGTTAGGCGCCCTATAGCTTTCTCATCCATTTCTTTAAAGATTACATTGGTATTCATCAGCATATCTTTTCCTAAATTAGAATCAGTTGCAATGCTTGTAACTAAACTCTTTGCCATTGATTGCTGAACCCCTGCTTTAACTTTTTTTTTCTCTTTCATTTTATAGTTTCTTCCTTTCGTCCACATATTTTCCAGATTTTCAGGAGTAAGAATTTCCGTTCTTCTCTGGGTCGCCACCTCTAGCATTCGTGCCCACTCTGCAGGATGTGGCTGCATATGGTCTTGTTGTGAGTCATAATCCAAGTACATTTCTCCGCGATCATCAATTTTAGACAAAGTTTTATCTGTTCCTTGATAGTCTCTTTTGTTGTCAACAGTTCCAGTCCTTTGACTATTTACAGAAGGATCTTTTCTCAAGGAGGAGTCAGCAGTATGCACACTCGCTGCAGGTTGATCACCAACAGTATCTTTTGGACTATCATCTTTAATGGAAAGTAAAATCAATTCAAGTACCTCATTGATATACCTGGTCACATAAAGCATAACGATGATTCAGTATACAGAGGTATACATTAACATTAAAGAGTTCCAAAAATTTATCTAATCCACACAATATTACATACAAAATATGAAAAACACAAACAATCATAACATGTTTGCAGATAACACGCCAATCAGGATGGTCATAGCAACATATACTTTGAAAACTAATCAACTCATGAAAGATGAATCATTTGGTGGAGGATAGCAGCTGATGACCACTTCTTCAATCAGACAGTCCAACCAGCAACAATGGTTGATCATATATAACTTGTTAGGAGAGAGTTTAAAAAAAATCCAATTTTTCATTATTATAATTCATATTACTTCTTTCCTATGACCTCCAAATTGATGCAGGATCTACAATTACAGCACCCTGGTACTATGGCTTACAAGTTGTGACAGATTTGATAGGTTGGAAAATGAAAAATAGGGGACAGGTTGTGTTTTTGAGGAGTAACATGAAGGAGCTAAGGATCAAGTAGGTTTAAGAAAAAGAAAACAAACCTATCATCACACTAGGCTCCTATAAATAACTCCTAGGACTTCTTAGGCACCACCCCTCATTTTCATCTTTGGTAAACTACCAAGTGTTAAAGTCATAGTAATCCTCCTATTCAATATCAAGATGGCTCATTTATCTCTTGATGTTTATCTCTAACCTTGAAGGCTGAAAAATCTCATTTCATTCACTTCAAATAATTCTCCAAAAGTGGATATTACAACCAATATATATAGGCTAATGAAGAGGTGCCTAGGAAGGCGCACCATAGCTACTGCTAGTTAGCAAGTCACTTCCATAATGGTGAATAAGTTGACTGGTAAATGTTACAAATCACAAAATTACCCCTGAAAATTACATAACTGCCCCTGGCAGTTAGACCCCCTAAATTATGTTCTATTTACCTGGTAAAACTGTCTAGGTTACTTCAATTAGGACCAAGCCAAATAGACATGCTTATAGAAATAGATTTTCCCCTTCTTTTATAAACTTTCCAGGTGCTATTTGCATCACAAATATTAGGAGGCAAGTGCACACATTCTTAGACTGTGGCCTTGAGCAAAGCAACACCATTTACATTTAATTCTAATTTTCCTCTAGTTCTAATGTTGCACCTAAAATAATTTCAATTCTTTAGAAGATTAGCATCTATAAGAAAAAAAACAGACCTAAAACCAAGAGCAAGTAATCTGTATACTTACACAGGACTTGCAAGATTCATAAGAGGTTGCATTACCAAGCAAGTTACAATCTCTCGAGCGATAGTCCGAACCAGCGGACATTGAGCTTCACGAGGTCTAAGTACTATAGCTAAAACTCCACCAATCAGTCGTTGAAGAACCTTTTTGGAAGAGGAAAATGGGAAGCAGAAGAAAAGGAGATCATTAAATAACAATGAAGAAGGTGCATACAAAAGCAGGAAAAAAAATTGGAACACTCCACTCACACCTTGTACTCACTCTCGAGAGATATCAATGCAGGATGAAGCTCCTTAGAAGCCATTAGATGGTGTTTCAACCTTTCATCTCTCTCTTCAGTAGAAAGAGTTGCCATCACATCAGCTCCTATAGCTGCTTGATTTCTTCTAAAGAGGTCTAAGTGATCCCCTATTAAATCAACCAAATCCCTGCAACACCAGACAGTATTTCATTCCAATGTTTTCACACGTAAAGCTTATAAATGACTATTTAACTATGAAAAGTTTCTTGAAAACTTGTGTGACCTATTTCATTTTAGAAAGGATATTATAGGATGAAAAAAAATTACCTAGTTAGCAAGTCGATAAGATTTATCTCTTTAGCCCTTCCAGATACCTCACCAAGAGCATCCATGATTACCGACCGTATCAGCTCAGGTGCCTCCCGATCTGGTGTAATTTCTGAATACCATAGGTCTACCACAAAATCCTTCAATATCTTATCGATGAAACCACCAATTGCAGCCTCAACAACTGGAGAATCAATTTTCCGCTTCCACTTTGGTGCCGGTGGCACAATGGAAAGTCGTGAGTCATTCATAGACAACTGTTTCTTCTCCAAATGTGACAAATAAGACAGTCGACGAACTGACTGGCGTGCTTTCCAGCTGAACTCCACTTCATTAGACAAAATTCTTAGTGCAGACACAATGAGAATTGATATGGGTAGATTCATCCACATTGATGAACTCGTATCTGTAATGAATTGCAATGATTACCACAAGAACCATAAATAAATAACATTATATTGAGTAATTATTTATATTGGATAATTATCATCACCGTTGCTTGGTTCCCAACGAAAGCACACCAAAGCTGCAACATGCACATGCACATGCACATGCATATAAATAAAAATATTTATTTGAAGCAACAAATCTATCACTGACGAGGACTCTAGCAATGGATCAACTTCATGCCACTTAAACTTCCATTTATAACTAACCTCAAATGATGTAATTTCATCATTTTTTAATAAAAAAAATCAAGGTTTTGGTTTTCTAAAGAGTCCTTAATTTTCATAGGCAACTAAAGCATAATTAGGTGGGGAAAAAGTTTCAAAAATTACATAAAAATCGTAACTACCCTGCCTTGATCAAAACTAAGTACCAAATAATAATAATTAAAATCTTTCATCTTCAAAGAAACAAAAAACTCCTGATCAGTTAAAAATCACCGACGCCATGGTAATAGCAAGTTCCATAAAACGTTAACCCTAGCTCAATTGATACAATACAAAACGCAAATTCACTGATTAATCAATCAAAAAATCTAAGAAATTGAACCTTCAAAAAGAGCTTCACTAGCACTGTACAGAATCAAGAAGTAGATGAAGAAAGCAAAAGGAATCGAGAACTTACGAGATAAGAAGTAAGTGACGGAAAAGATACAAAGACACCACCAAACCGTTCGAAGTTTAGCTTCTTCAATCAGATCATGTACCGTCTCCATAGCCTTCATTTTTCTTTGGTCTCCCAAACCCCAGAATTTCTCAATTTCTCTCGCGATCAAAAAAGAAAATGAGGATCGAGAGGAACTGAAGGGAATTTGATTTTTATGCAACAGGGAGAAAAATAAAGAAAATTGCTTGTTTTTAATTTATTTTCTACACGGATAGAGAGGGAAAGAGAGGGAGAGGGAGAGTATATTTTGTGTACGTGGACAAAGATGCTGGTACTTTCTCCACATTGATCTTCACAGTTGCCACGTCGGAAAACAACAGGAGAAAAATAAAAGACAAAACACTATGCACATTTTCTTTTACGTCAAAACATTAACCAATTACTTAATTACTGGAAAGTGCCGTGGGGGAGACCAATGTAACAGTTTTTACCCTTTATCCTCTCGCAATTTAATATGAATTGTAATACTATTTTTTGAAATTTTCAGTTTTGTCTTTAAAAAATTTTATATCATTCAATTTTTTTACCCCAAATTAATACCTAATTATTATTTTTTGTGGGAAAAGGTTGGATTCTTCAAATATATCAAACGAGCTCTTGTCTGGTTTTTTAAAAAAAAATTACTCATCCTTTTAAAAAATAAAAATAAAATAAAAAAAGCTCAGTACGTACTTTTTAATGCTTAGACTCACAAGTTGGGCTTTGTTTTTGTATTTTTTTATTTATATTTGGTTTTACAAAATAATAAAATAAATTATTAAATTTAATTAAGTTCATTAGTGTATTATAGATTTAACCACTTAATCTATAATATTTTAACAATTATTTATTTTTATTATTTTGGTTTAATGATTTTTTTGTTCCTTAATTTTTTAAAAAAAATATAATTTTACTATTTATTATTAATGATATATTTTTTATTTAACTCAAATCTAAAATAAAAAAAATTCACTAATTTTTTCAATGATCTACCCTTTTAGCTTCACACACGTTTATGATGGTTTTTTTAACTTTTTAAAAACATGTTTTATGCAAAACAAATTCTATTATATTTTATTAAATAATAAAATTACATCCCACTAAATGAAAATAATATTTTAAAAAACATAATTGTTAAAGACAACAGGATTTATATTAAAGAATTAAAAATTTTAATCTTAGTTGTTTTTAATTAAATATTTATTTAATTAATTAAATTCATATATACTATTTTTATTTGTGATTAAAAAATTTTATATTTAAAAATACTTCTTGCATATTTATTTTTATTGAAAAAAAATAAAAAAAAACCACCCGTGGAGGAGACAAAACTAGCTACATCAAAGAGTAAAATTTTGCGAGAAAAAAAAATTAAAAAACAAGGGACCACGTGATATCCAACCCAACACCGAAACAAAGATGTCACTACTCGCTATCCTTGTATTTAGAGACTTTGTCAAACGTTAATTGTCAGTCAAGGAAAAACGCAAAAAATAAAGGCATCCCCTTTGCCACTTCACCACATGGCACTAACTTAAACACTTGCCAGAAATTGGTTGGTTTCACTGTTGAACGGTGAAATTAATTTAGTTTTTATTTAATTTTTTAATCAAATTATATGGAATTAGACTTGAAATTACAAAAAAAGTATCAAATTAAAATATAGATAATATAGATAACTAAAATTTAAAACACCAATAAAATATATTGCTCACTTCAAATTCACAAAAAAATTTATTTTGATTCCAGGATTTATGTTGTTTATTTCTCAATTCTTAAATTAAAAAAAATGAGAGAAACTTGCCAGAAAATAAAAAAAAAAACAGGAAGACAATAATTTTTTCACTTTTTGATAATAAAACTTATTATTTTTTATGTCAATGGTTTCATGAAACAAGAAAAAATTAAATATAATTGTTTTAAACATTCATCTTGTCTAAAAGAATAAATCAAGATGGAGAGGGAAAAAAATAACCAATATGATTTGATTTTTAAGACCTTTTTTTGTGTTTTTAATTGTTATATTGATTTTTTTTCAAGGGTATTTATTAAGTATTTTTGGGTCAATATAGGTGAAAGAATTGATTTTTCTAGCAAAAAAAACCATATTTTAGTTTTTCAATTATAATTGTGATAGATGAATTTTATACCAATTTTCGACCAACACAAATAATGTGTCATTTTCCTTAAATTTTTCCAAAATAAATCAAGGAAGGACAGTAGGTTTTACGCCTCTAAAAAGCAAAAAAGCTAAAGGGTGCATGCTTGGGTTTTGTTTAAAAGCTTATATACATGTGCCTAAGGATTTTTTGTTTCCTTTTTTTTTTTTGTCCATCAATCTTGAACTTTCAATTTCATTCTTGTCTTTATTATTATATAATTAAGTAAATAAAATTTAAACATTAAACTTATTAAAAATAATAGAGTATATGACTCAAATAACGAATTTTATAGGTTACAAGTTTAACATATTAAGTCATAAAATCTGAGTTGATTCATATATTATTGTCTTAATATATTTTTTTAAATAAAATGTTATTTTTAAATTTTTTATAACATTCAATTTATTTTAAATTAATCTTCATAATGCATTTCGATTTAGTTTTTGTATGATTTATTTTTTATTAGGTTATCACAATCATGTAACATAATGAGCAAGCTTGATATATTGATCTGAGTTGATCCAATATGTATTCACCTCAATATCTATTTTAAAAGAATGTCATCTAGATTTTTTTAAATTCAAACCACATTATTATTAGTCATTCAAGTTATCTTTAGGAAAGTGTTTGTTTACGCTGTAGCTTCTACTTTTAAAACTCACCGCGTAAACATCATGTTTAGTAACATTAAAATGTAACTGATTGTTTGTGTGGAATCCATATATTTTTTTTTTGTTAAAACGCCAGTTCCTAATAAGCAGCTGATAGTTGCTTTTCACATAAACAGTATCATGATTATAACTACTATATTAAAAAATTATTTTTAAAAAATTATATTTTACTCAAGAAATTAATGTTTAATATTATTTAATAACACTACATAAATTAGAAGAACATCGCATGATGATGTAGCATTTGCAGAATTTGATCACAATCTCAATTTTCTTCCTGATGATATTTTACCTGATGTTGTTGCACGCTCAATAAACAAAGAAAACTGTAGTCCTTATCAGATATATTTCATACCTAAACGAATTGTAGGTAGTTTAATTGAACAATAAAAAATATTTTATATAAAGTATTATCTATTTTATGATGTAATAATAATAATTAAATCTACAATATTTAAATTCAAAACCATATTTTTTAACCAAACACATTAAACTATTTTTTGTTCAACCTCAATTTCAACCACAATTTTAACCAAACATATATAAATATCAAACCAACCTTAACTAAAAGTATTTTTTATAAAACAACTTTTTTCAAACTGTAGATCAGAAAGGAAAACTTACTTGTGAGATTTTGCTTTCTTATTCCTAAATCAATTACTTCAGTGTCATTTCAATTACTATAACCAAAATGATATTTCACAGTACGAATATCTTTGTAAATATTGTCAAATTAATGCAGAGAGTCAAAAAAAAAGAAAAAAAAAAGAAAAAACTATGTTTCTTCAATTATAAAAACTTATCTTTTTTTATATGGGTTATATCCCTTTATATATAATTAGATAAGACGGTCACTTTCTTTAATAACTCCTCTAATAATTTGGATTTGGTCCATCCATCATGGACATATCAGGCCCAGCCCAATAATTAACACAAACCATAAAAGATCTACTTGTTCGAGTTGTATTTTTTTTCTTTATTTAATTTTGCATCCAAATATTTTTTTTATTTAACTCATGGTGCAAGTGAATAACCTATTTTATGCTATATTTTAACCAACAAGATACAATTTTAAGAGATTCAATGTACCAAAACTTGTGATATTTGGTAAAAAAATCTCAAGAAATTCTTTGACAATCAAGTTCAACCAAGAATCTGCTCTTTATTTTGAGGATACCGAATATCAACTATTTGATGACCAAATTTAATTGTGAATGTTTAACCACAAAATAGAAATCTTAAAAAATTTTGTGCTTTATAAAATTTAAAAAATCCCACATGAAGGCTTTGAAAATTCTTGAAGGCACAATAGATAAAGGGATCTTAATGATGTATTAACAATCAAAGTTGTTGTAAATCGAAGGTCTAACATACATAATTGATTATAATTTGCAAAAAGGATCTCAATGGTTATTGAAAAGCAAAGAAGATAGCTAAACGAAAGAGAAAGCTAAATACCAAAATTTAGCAAAGCATATAAAAAAAGGTGGAATCTAACCATGGAATTTGGTTTTGCATCATTTGTGGCTATTGTTATACTTAAACATTGTCACGATGATTAATTTTCTAAATTAAAATTTTACAGTATAAGTGACAAAAATAAAATTATTGTTATTTATTTGTTATAAAGGTTTGAAGTCACCATATATTATTTTAGTCACTAAATACATTAATTAGTATTTAAAATCTAAATAAATAAACTGATTGTATATAAAAAAAGTTATATCTTTTCTAGCATACCCTACCCTAGAATAAATTATAATTTTTATTTGTCTAATTATCATTACGACACCATTATGTTTTTTCTAACTATTAATCTATTTATTAGTTAAAATAAACTTATCACATTCGAGTGAACCATACTTTTATAAAGTAAGCCTAACCTTTCTAAAGTTCAAACATATTTTTTATATTTAATTTTTTTGATTTAATTTTTTTTTTCATATAAGTTTATAATCTTTAATACTAAAATAAATAAATTTTTTTATGTTTTTAAAATTTAAGCCAAGTTCCCCCCGTGGCTTAATAAATTTGTTGTTAAATCTATGATATATGCGAAACATAAAACTATTTTTGGAATATTTTGGTAAAAAATGCTAAATCATGAAAATATTTTTTGTTTTTTTCTCTTTTTTCTTTCATCTATTTTCTTGTATTATAATTCTTTGATAAAAAAATGCAAAATATGATTTTTTTTTAAAAGAAACTTAGGCTTATGCAATTAAAAAAATTTGGTTAATTTTTATCATTTATTTAATACAAAATGAAATGAAATGAAAAATCACGCACACCCTCTTTTCTCACTATTTTATTCACACCCTATAATCACATGTTTACAAATTATCAAACTTTAAAAACTAACAATAATTCAAACACTCATATTTTTTTTT